TCAGACATTACTAATCTGGAAACCCACTGTCCTTGACCCTGATACCCTGATGACATAACAACAACGGGCACAGGAACCTACGTAGAACGTAGTGTACGACGATACAGGCGAAGACATAGACGCACAGGATCGACAGCGAAACGACAAACGTGTAGAAATAACGGTAGTTCCGCTTGCCGACACAGTTTCCGACCCATGGACAATGATGGTCGAAGTTTTCTGAATATAACAATAAATTTCTACAACGCAACACACAACGGTAGCTAGCAATTTCGCCCTACCTACGCAATTGTCACATATGCTGCAGTGCGACGAGCGCGGCGGCCGAAATATCTTGCACGTGAGGCAATACTTCAGCTTCATCGTCTGACCGTTGATTGTCACTTCCTTGTATCGTGCTCGTAATGGCGGTGTGCGCGGCGATTCTAAGAAAATCATGTGAAATAAACGGAACATGAAACTCGAAATAAAAGTTCAACAAAATCAACTACCATCCGCACTTATTTACAAACGGCTTGTGCAGGGCCACTGAACTATGGCAAGACTCGTCTATTTACAACTCTCCTTGCGCACACAACAATACTGTCGAGGATAGTCGATGATCTCGTATGTAACCCTTTATGGTAGGGTGAACTTCCTTTCTACGGTTTCTTCAAATAAAAATGTTCTGTCACTTCTATGGTTCTCCTGGCTGCAACTAGCGACGATTCATCGCAACTGAAAAGCTGTCCGTCAGATATACAATCAAGAGGTGCGCCTTTGGTTATCTAGCAGTAGATACTGTTTGAAACAGCGCACTGGCAAATCATATCGAAACGGATATCTGCATCAAATTCTATGCAGGAAAGGTACTTCTGATGGCGTCCATCACGGTGGTGTAAGAGTTAGATATCCTAGCGGCAACAAAAATTTCTTTTCTTTTCATTGCCTAAACCACAGCTTTCCAGAATTATCTCTGGCTTCTAATCAGAAACAATCTATATTATGCTGAACATTCCAATATAATACTCGTTCGAACGTACGAAATATATGCAATTCCCTGCCCGGTTTTCGTCAAAAGTATACAGGCCGTCAACTCATTCACACCTTTGTCCTTCCCTACGTTCCTCTGATTCTTACATACGACAGCAAAAGAATGACAGACGACATACGACTACTCCTCCGGACGTTATACAAGAATAGCGTTAACCTATTGCACAACTGCTTTAAATGTCCTCTGATGGTAACGCACTGGCAAAAAATAGCTTTTATGGTTAAAATATTCTCTACGTCTAGTCTGACAAATGGAAACCGGTTAGTGCTATTGCAGTCATGAGCTCAATTCAACGAGATTCAGCTTGTACGAAATGAAGATTTTTCAAATGCCCTTATCCATCTGCTGAGCAAACGTCTGCTTCGCTGTCGGTCAAGAAGGTCGACTGGACACTCGATCACGTTTCATACTCAATACGGCACGGAATGAAACGTAACAGAAGTTAATGGTAAGGGCCGTCGCGTTCACATCTGCAGAGTCAGCGAAAGAAACCGAACACTGCTTTTCCCGCGGCAGTAGCCTCTCTTATCGCCCAGTACCTGCCCGTCACCCTTGTATGTAGTTTGCATCTTTATATTTTATCGTTTATTTCATTTCATTTTTTCAGCGAGCAGCTTAGTCATGGCATCGCATTTAGCGTAAGCAAATAAATTCTGATCTTACATTCAAACAGCGATCGAGAAACAGTAATTGTCGTACTACTCAAATCTATATCAACATTTCTGTCTTGTCGGCAAAGGTAAAACGCGCCACCAATTTTCGATATAGACCTTCTTATGGATAAATAAAGTGGCAGAAAAAATTTAGTTCTTCATCGCTCAAGTATAACCAACAGTACTCAACAATGTAACAGGTAGCGAGCAAAGCAGAAATGTAAGTAATCAGTACAGCATCATGAACTATGAATATGTTGACGACAATGTCCTGTCTTCTTGGCATACGAACATTAGAATAAAAATCCCGCAAAGGTTCTGCGAAGAAACAGCTAAACTTGGTACGGCGTCGTCAAATTTTGCAATGAAAGGCTAGATAACCAAAGACTGATGAGCAGAGGAAGAGGAAGCAACCAAAGTTCGCGCAGCACAAGTCGGATATATTACGCGGGCACTGCTTCTTGGCACTTGGCGAGAAGCAGTGACACTGATCTCGATGCGCAGCGCGCAACAACGCCTTGCGATAAGTTGTTGGCATCCACAAGATGGCTTAAAGTGCTTAAGTGAGGACCTGACCTGGAGAAATTCAACGTCTGCAAAGAGCAGTTGC